CAGACAACTTGCCAAAGAAAGTGTGTTGCCAAAGTCAGGGGTGGGACTGAGCCAGGTACCCGTGAATAGGAAGGGCTGGGCCTTATCTGCAAACCATTTGCTGGGTGAATTGTGGTAGTTGTCAGAGAGACCAGGAAGTCCCCAATGGATAAAACCCTTCCCAGGCCCCCCCTACCTTTCCACTTGGCATGGATTTCGCAGCTTCCTCCCATCCTGCCAAAGCTGTTCCCAGCCCTGTGCAGAGGTGGGTACCAGGAAACCTGAGTCTCTGTCCTTAGTCGGGTGGCTTCAACCTTCCCCTTCCCTTCCCCTTCCCTTCAAATAGACGCAAAACTCCCTTCAGGGAGCCATAAAACTTTGGAGGGCAGGAGTGGCCTCCCACTCCCCATTGGCTTTTGTGAGGCACTGTGCTATATTTTAGGCAGGCCAGAGGCGATCATTCTCAGAATACACCCAGGCCTTTCCCACTTCAGGGCCTTTGTGCCTGCTGTTTCCTCTGAATCAGTGCTCCCTACCACACACCAATTTTTCACAGGGCAGAAAATGTGGAAGCTCCGAGGCCTTTCCTGACCTCCTCCCAAAGGTCCCCTGCAACCAATGTTGCTACACCTTTGCTCTCTGTTTTGAGTTCTTCAGAGACCTTTCACATCTTCCTCTTTTTTTTTTTTTTAATCCTGACAGGCTTGGTAATTCTTATTCTCTCTTAACTAGAATCTCAGGTCAGTGAGGGTGGACTCAAGCACACAGTAGATGGGTGAGTGAAGGACCCCTGAGGGTGCAGGGCAGGGATTCCCCGTCTCACAGGTGGGGAAATGGAGGCCCAGCCACAGCTGAGGTCCATCTGGGTAGAAATCCAGGGCTCACCCCACGCACCACTTGGCCCTGGCGAGGTGATATTAAATCCAGGATTGGCTGCCTGCTGCTTGGAAGCCAGTAATTGAAAGACCAGGCCTGGTGGAAGGAAAGTAGGTTTATCCAAGAGTGGCAGCTTGAGAAGGTGGTGGACCCACGTCACAGAGACCATCTTAACAATTGGACAGGGACAGGGGTTTTTGTAAGGAGGGGGGAGGAAAAAAAACAGAACACAGGAATCAAAAGGAGGGGGTTGAGAGTTCTCCACTGCGGGGACTTCGTGTAAGCCAGCACAGTCTGTGCACATAAGTGTTGAAAGAGGTCAGCAAACTCCCGAAGCTGGAAAGTCTGCAGGTCGGAGTCTGCATCTTTTGAAGCTAGTTCCTAGAATGCTCAAGCAAACGGGCCATTTATCTGCAGTCACACATTAGTGAACAGGTCGTTATTTGCAGAAACAATGTTAAAAGAATGGTGGGGTAGGTTACATAGGGGCTCTGAGGGGAGCTCACGGGTGGGGGGGCACCTTCTCTCGGCAATCTGCTCTGCCTTCCTGGGTGCCAGTGTGGAGAAGAACAGGGGCCGGGCCAGGTGGAAGGAGCACTGTGACACGGCACAGCTTCTGCAGGAGGCGGAGGGGGAGAAAGGCAGGGGCAGCTGCCCAGACCCCAGGGTGAGGGCCCCAGGCCTCATGGGCCCGGATGCATCTTGGCCTGGAGCCGTAAGGTTGCAAATGAAAGACAGAACAGCAGGTAAATTTGAATTTGAGATAAACAATTGATCATTTAAAAAATGTAAGTATGTCTCAAATATTGCATAGGACATACTTATGCTAAAATTATTGTTGTTTATCTGAAGTTCAATTACCTATTTTTTCCCCCTATTTTTACTTGCTTGATCTGGCAACCCTTCCAGGAGGGAATGGCAGGGCCATTGCCAGGTGCCAGGTGGGTGGATCTTAGAAACTAGCAGGATCTTGGGAATGCCACCCATGGGAAGTGCGGGGCTGAGGGTGAGGAGAAGCTACTGGCCTGGGAATGTCAGGTCTGGGGGTGCTACTTCCACCCTGCCTGACAGGGGAATGGGCACAACTCAGGGCCTTTTCCAGCCCCAGGTCTGATCACATGTACCCCCTGCCCTCACTGTTTAACCCTCTGAAACCAACTGCCCTTTCCCCACAAGACAAAGACCAGAATGTCTGTGCGACTTAGAGCCACGCATGGAGCAGCCCCGCCGGCACCTCCTACCTCCTCCAGCCATACTCTGGGCTCCAGCATTCAGCCACTCAGTTCACATGCCAGCCCCTGCCTTCTGGTCCAGGGCCATTTTCCATTTGGAGAGAAGGGCTACACACATCCTCTGTCCCAGATGTCTTTGTCCTGGACACATCCAGTGCAGGGCTCATGGTAGGTGCTCAGTAAACAGCCAACTGAGCTGAATGTACAGCTCCTGTTACCCCATGAAGACAAAGGCCCCTCAGTGGAAGGAGTGACTCCAGCATGAAGCTCCCCTCCTACGTTCTACAAAGCCCATGGGGTTCCCAGGACCTCAGGCCGCTCTGCTGATGACCATAAGTCACTGTCACCAAGGGTACTATTTTCTGAGCTCCTACTCTGAGGAGGCATTTTACACATGTTTTCTCTATTTGAGGCACAATCCCTACTAGGAGGGGGTAGATGTGGCCCCATCTTACAGATGTGGAGACTGAGGCCAGAGAAGTGGAATCTCCTGCCCAAGGCCACCCAGCTAAGGAGTGGTGAAGCCCCCTTCTCAGCCTGGCCTGCCCAGCTCTAGATGTTGACCTCCAAGGACCATCCAGAGGCCAGTGCTGCCTAAGCCTGGAGCCCCTTCCCCGAGTTGTTCTGGCTCTAAGACCAGGGACCAGAGATGGGGCTGCCCCTCACAGCTCTGCTCCCTAACCCCCTACTGGGCCAAGACCAGCAGAAGGGAAGTTGCATCAGGATCCCAGTGGCCATTTGCAGTGGTAATAGTGTCAGGGGAGAAGTTCAGTGTCCCCTGAAAGTCTCTGATCCCAAGAATTCCCCATTGCCCTTATTAAAAGCAGATTCCCAGGTCCTGGCAATTGGAAGCCTGAAATGGGACCCTGGAATCTGCCATTTCAAGCAGCAGCCTCAAGTGAATCCCTGGCAACCGGTTTCAGAGCCAATGGTGAATTCCCTGCAGAAGCCTTGAGCTGTCTGCCCACATCCCAGATTCTGCAGAGACCCTGCAGAAGGCTGTCACATGTAAGTGCCGGGAGGGGGCTTTCTCCGGGGAGGGAATGCCGAACCTCCCAGGTCTGGCCCCACAATCTGCATCCTCAGCCTGTGCCCCCAGGAGGACAGGTTGGGATTTGGGGAGAGCGGCATGATCCTGTGTTTTGGGGTGACTTCCACGTGCTTGGAGCTGTGGCTGTTTTTGAAGGCACCTCCAACCCGATGGCTGACAATGATAGTTTGTCCCTAAATGGGGCTTCTAAAGGGGTTTTCCTACCTCCTTACCCCCTTGGGGAATCTCTGAGCCCCAGCTTAACAGATACTAACAGCTGGTGACTCTCAGGGTAGGAGGAAAAGCCCCTAAATGTCCTGCAATGGCTTTTCACCTCCACCTGCCCTCCCCCCGAAACCTTTCCCAGGTACCTGGGGCCCAGCCTCTCAGTGTGACATTCTTTTTTGTTGGTTTGTTTGACATTTTTATTTTTTATTTTAATTGTTGTTCAAGTACAGTTTTCTGTCTTTTACTCCCATCCCAGTTCACCCCCGCCCCACCCTCTCCACCTCCCTCCCATTCCTCCCCCGCTCCCTGTCCCAGTTTTTGTTCATGTGTCCTTTATACTTATTCCTGTAAACTCTTCTCCTTTTCCCCTGAAATTCCCTCCCTTCTCCCCTCTGGTCCCTGTCAGTGTGACATTTTTATGTGCCTGGAGCCAGCTGTGGTCTGGAAGAGCCAACAGGCCTTTCTAGGAAACCAGGCTTTGGTGGTTGAGATCCTTACAAGTTCAAAGGGTGATCCAGGGGCCAGCAGCCTCAGCATCACCTGAGAGCTTGTTAGAGCTGCAGCATCTGGGCCCCAGCCAGACCCTTTGGCCCCTAAAGATGACATTCTGTCCCCAGAAGAAAGCACCCTCCCTCCACACATACCTGGCAGGTCTTTTGTGGGGTCAGTTTAGGGAATGAAGAGACAACCCATGCAGGGATCAGAACTTAGTAGGCAGCTCTGCTTCCTCCTACTCTTCCTGGGCACATCCCAGGGCAATCTCCCCTGCGGGGGGTCCGCGGTGGTTGTATATGTCAGAAGCTTGTGGACAAGAAACCCTTCTCTGGGTCACTGGGGATGGGGGACAGCCCCCTATTGCCTGTGGCAGGAGGGCAAAAGGCAGGACTAGGGATCTTGGCATCTGGGACCCTGGCCCTGGGTGGGAGGTCAGGAGAGGGGGAGGGCAGAAGGAAGGGGAAGTGACCTTGTCCTGGGCCAGGAAAGATCTTCAGGTGGCAAGCCTTTTCTGGGAGATACCTGGAAGGACTTTACATCCAGGAACACTGCTATTACCACCAATAATAGTTACTTTGTGCTCAGTATGTGTCTGGCACCCGGACGCATGCAGCTGTCACCATGGTCAGAGAATGATTCCCAAACTGTGGCTACAGCAGAGTCACCTGTTAAAAGGCAGATTCCAGGGCCTTCCTTACCCCAGACTTCTGACCCTCCAGGGTCAGGCCTGGAAATCTGCGTTTAGTAAGGGCCCTGGGAAATTCTTGGGTTCAGAGACTTTTGGGAAACACCGACCTTCTCCAAACCCTGAATGAGGCTGTTCAACACTGACATTCATTCGTTCATTCGTTCTTTCGCTAGGTCATTCTGCATTTATGGAACATCACCTCGTTCATTGATCCGCCCCCTGTGTTGCTCCCAGGATCACAGTTCAAGGTCCCCAAGTGCCCCTCTGAGTCCGAATCGTCCTCTCCCTGACACCGCTCCTCCTACGCTATCTCTGCACTCTGAGATCCCGCTTTTTCTCTCCTCGGTCCTGGCCCCCAGAGTCCTAGGGCCCTGAGACCCTTCATGCCCCGCCCCCTCCAGGGCCCTGGCACCCACCTCCCCACCCCGCGACTGCGCTCTGGGCCTGGTGCGCCCCGCCCCCACAGGAGACGTGCGCGGAGGCCGCCCTGCGGGCTGCAGGCTCTGACCCCGCCAGGTCTGCAGCCGGCAGCTCTGGGGCGTCCCAACCCCTTCGCTGCGAGAGGTGGAGCCAGAGCGTGAGGTCTGGGCTCCAGGTGGGCCCAAAGGGAGGATGAAGCAGGTAGGGCCGCGGGGATGCTGTGCGTGGAAGGATGTTGGTGAGGATAGGAGGAGCCTAGTGGAGCGCTAGGAGAAACCGGGAGGAGGAGGGATAGGCGAGTCCAAGTCCGGGGCCTGGGCCTGGGCTGGACTCCAGATGGGCCTGAGGGTGGAGAAGGCCTGGAATCACAGACACAGGGGAGGGGCCCTGCCTCCAGGGAGGGTGGGGGTGGAGCTGTGCTCTGCCGGCAGGTCTGCAATTCACCTTTGGTGTCCCCACTCCCAGGCCCTGGTGGACGATACTGAGGATGTGTCCTTGGACTTCGGCAACGAGGAGGAGCTCGCCTTTCGGAAAGCCAAGATCAGGTATGTTTGGACTGGCTTTGGGCAAGCATCCCCTAAAGCTGCAAATTCATTCATTTACGTTCATTCACTCACTCACTCACTCATTTATTCATTCACAATGTATTGAGCACCTAGTGTGTGACAGGCATCGGCTATCGACACACCTTGGACCGAATCAGACAAAGTCCCTCCCTTCCTGGATCCTGCAGTCTGGCGGATGGGGGAGGGAAGGAGAATACACTGAATAGGCAAGCAAAGATGTTAAGATAATTACTGCCTGTGAGAAGAGTTGGGAGAAAATCTACAGGGTGATGAAAGGGAAAGTAACAGGGCAAGGCCACTTGCCTTAGCGCAGTCAGGGAGGGCATCTCTGAAGAGGTGACATTTGAGCTGAGACCTGAATGATGAGAAGCAGCCAGTCTTGGGACACCTGGGAGGAAGTGTTCTGTGTGGAAGGAACAGCAGGTGCAAAGATCCTAAGACTCTGCTGGAAGGTCAGAGAAAAGCCTCTATGTCTGGAGGATGGCGGGAGAGGATAAAGGGGTTGGCAGGGGGCTGGAGAGGTGGGCAGGAGCTTGAATTTTTAGTTTAATCCCTGCTCCAGTCCTAGCCAGACAGACGTAGTGTCCTAGGTCAAATCACTTGCCTGCCTGAGACCTTCAGCATCACAGAAAATGGCAGGAATAAGGTGTGTAAAATAAACGAGATTGCTGATGACCCAGACAGCCACTACATCTAGAAACGCATAGCTCAGCCACACTCACCCTCCTGTTTCTGCCCTATCGCTCCTTCCAGCCATCGGAGCCAGCAGGCTTGGGGGCCTGGCAGCTACATGGCATTTCTTTTAAATCCTCTGATCCAAACCCAATAGTGGAATAGGACAGTATTAGTTTTCTAGGGCCACTGTAACTATCCTAAACTTGTTGACTTAAAATAACAAATATATTCTCTCACGATTCTGGAGGTCAGAGGTCCAAAATCAATTTCATTAGGCTGAAACCAAGGTGTGTCGGCAGGGCCACACTCCCTCTGGAGCCTCTAGGGGGAAATCTGCCCTTCATCTTTTCCAGATTCTGGCAGCTGCTGGCTTGGGGTCCCTTCCTCCACCCTCAAGGCCATCGGTGTGGCATCTTCCAATCTCTCTCTGCTCCATTCTCACGTTGCCTTTTTTCCTCTCTGTGTCAAATCTCCCTCTGCCTTCCTCTTAGAGTGTTACTTGTGGTTACACTTAAGGCCCAGCAGTTTGATCTGGGATAACCTTCCCATCTCAAGATCCTTAATCACATCAGCAAAGCTCCTTTCTCTGTATGTGGTAACACTCACAGGTTTCTGCGTATTTGGTGCGGGGACACTATTCAGTCTACTTCAGTGATCAGTGATTGTCTAAGGAAAAACACTGTAAAAGGACTGGGATCCTGGGGAAAGAATCTTACACAGTATCTAAACTCATTGTATGTTCAGTCTTGATTGAGCACCTCCTGTCTGCCCAGCTCTGGGATGGTGGCTGGGGATATGTGGTGTAAGGACACACCCCCTGCCTTTGTGGAGTTGTCCAGTGCAGAGCAGAGATGGTTAACCTCGACACTGCTGACGTTCTGGGCCAGGTACTTCTCACTATGGGGGTTGTCCTGTGCATTGTAGGATGTTTAGCAGTATCCCTGGCCTGTACTCACCAGATGCCAGTAGTACCCCACCCATGATGTCTCCAGACACTGCCAAATGTCCCTAGGAGGCAAACTTGCCCCCAGTTGAAAACCACTGGTGTGGGGGTACAGGGTGTAGGTGTGCCCATGACTGTGGTGACTCAGTGTTTCCATGCTTGGGCATCGTGTTCCTGGGCAGGGGAAGGAGTGACAGCTGAGCTGAGACCTGCAGGGCGGGTACAAATTAGCTAAGCAGGGAAGGAGTGAGGGTGTCCGATGCAAAGGCTTAGAAGTAAGATGAGTTTAGGGAGTTGAGAGTGTGGTTCACTAGGGACTAGTCTGGACAGAGCCTGGGGCCGCACCCTGAAGGGCTTATAAGTGAAGTTGTGGAGGTGCGATGTCCACTAGAACTTCCTATGAGGATGGGAATATACTATCTGTGTTGTCTAATACGGTGTCCACCAGCCACACATGGCTGCTGAGCCCTTGATATGTGGCTAGTGTGACCAAGGAACAAAAATTTGGACATCTAATTTTAATTTAAATAACCACATATGGCTGCCATATTGGACAGTGCAGTCCTAGAGCTGGGATTTGTTCAGGGCAGTGGCATCCGAACCTTACGTAGCTCTGACTGAAGAGGATACCTACACACAGGGTGGCAACACAGCATCTTCGTCTCATTGGGACACACAGCCACATCCCCCACACATACGAGTATTCCTGTTGCCCTGTCTCCTACACGGGCCATGTTGGGCTCCCAGAGGCAAAAGCAAGTGTTGTGATGCACTCTGCCCAGAAGCCTAGAAGTTTCAGCCTCTTATTTCCTGCAAACTTTCTATGATTCTGTTCACCAAGATCCACGGCCTGCTTGCCAGCTCACATTTCCCCAACCGAGGGGCTGTTCCACCCAGGTCACTCCCAGGCAAGTCTGATGTTAACCCTTTATTGACAGTGTCCTTGAACAAGTCAGGATGCCTTCCCGATCCTCCATGCTCTCATTTGTAAAATGGGGAAGATGTTAGTTCCATCACAGGGCTGCGTGTAGAGGAGTAAATCAAGTGACAAACGTATGTAACAAAGGCTAGTGGGACCCCGGTAACTCATGCAGGTAACTTCACAACTGCTAGCTGTCTTCTGACCCCAAGTGGGGCTTCTGTGTCCTCTCTGTGGCAGGACTGGGGCAGAGGCAGGTCCTCAGCTGGACCAGGATGTTGCATTGGGGTTGTCGTTGGAGCTGGAGACTGTCCCTCCGGTGAAAAGTTATGTTTATGCTTTCAAGGCACTGTCTCCACAAAATTCATTTGGACCCAAACGTCATGGGTTTCAGTGGATTCTGGCCCAAAGTAGGATGGTCTTGTCTTGCCTCAGACGAATTTCTTGGACCTGGTTTGGGTCTCTGTTGTCAGGGCTGGTTTGTCTGCAAGGTTTGGTCAGTGTTGGTCCTCATTCAGCCCAGGGGGTATCGGATGAGAAGACGCCGCAGGGAGTCACATGTTAGTGGGGACCAGGCCCCAAGGCAAAAACTACATGAAATCAAAACTTCCCTTGCAAATCTCTAGCTACCCTGTCAAGTAGAACAACATTTTATCTTTCAAGTAGTCTTTCACTGTCCATTCATCTTCCCATGTTGGATACAAAAGCTGTTCCTCAAAGTGAGCTGCAAATGAATTTCTTGGCTGTGTTTTAGGGGAAGTTATAGTGAATGAAAATAATAGCAAACACTTCCGTAGTACTTACTATATGCAGGCACTATTCTAGATGTTTCACTTATAATAATTCATTTAATCTGTATTACAAAACTGTGAGGTTGACACTGATTTTTATCAGTTTCAAGATTAAAGGAATTGAGGAAAAGAGTTGAGTGACTTGCAGAACATTGCACAGCTTTTGAGTGGCAGGGTGGGGAGTTTTGCACTGGGGCCTGCATCTTGCATTACACTGAGTGCAGTCAGGTAGGCAGCCCTCAGGGATGAGCTCTGCCATGGGAGCAGCGGTTCCAGGGCTTCAGTCTGCCAGCCCCTGCTACCTAGAGCAGGCTTTCTCAGCCTCTGCACTGTTGACATTTGGGGCTGGATAATTCTCTGCTGTGGGAGCTGTCCCATGCACTGTAGGACTTTAGTGACATCCCTGGTCTCTGCCCACTAGATGCCAGTAGCAGTGCTCCCCCTGTTTCCCGAGGTGTGACTACAGATGTTGCCAGATGTCTCCTAGGAGCAAAGTTCCAGGTTGAGATACCTGCCTTCAATTATTCTCTGGCTCTCTGGGGTGTGGATTTGGAAAAGTTAAATTTGCATTTGAAGGAGCTCAGAGCATTCCTGACACCTCTGTGTTTGACACTGACCTGAGGGAAGCTGGTTGGGTGGGGGGCAAGGGAGAAGGGGCACAGGCCATGGCATAGGCATCGCTTTGGTGGCTGCACATTATTCTGAGAAATCAACACAAGCACATCTCTAATTGCCTCCCCTCCACACATGCAGACACACACACACACACACACACACACACACACAAGCAGACACACAGACCCAGACAGAGACACACATGGGGACACACACAGACACACAGACACACATAGAGACACACATGCAGACATCATGCTCCAACACACTGAAGAGAAGGAGAATTTTAGTTTTCTTTGTTGTTATTCCAGGAGGTCTGTTTGTGCCAGTAAGCGAGGACCCTGTGCCCTCTGGGGTCCCCTTGTCCCCAGTGACTTTGGGGAACAAGTCACCCAGCCTCCTTCCACTCAAATATCTATTTAAAAAATGTAGAAATGTAACACATAAGCAGGTCTCACCAACATTGAGGAAGGTCCATGATTACCAAGGAAAATAACCCACAGAATCAGGGAACTAGACCAATTTCGGTTCTCTTTGATTAGGGCACGGAATTACATATTTTGAAATTAACTCCTTACATCTACAGTCACTTAACTTCCTCTTATTTATATTTTTTGTTAACATGAAATTGATTGCGTAAGGCATCCCAACTTACTGAAGGGAGATTTCTGCTGAACTGTGATACACACAGTTCAAGGAAGTTGGTGACAGGAAGGGGATGGCGGTCAGGATCCTTGATGTTTGATGCTGGACAGCTTGACTGCACAGACCTGGAGGAGTTAACACGTTGATTTGTTCTAGGGTTGATGCTTCTGACGTGTGGGGCTGGGCACCCTTTGTTCCGAGGGCCGTCCTGTGCTCTGTGGGGTGTTGGGCAGCATCCCTGGCCCCGGCCCAGTAGGTGTGAGTGGTGGCCCCCGAGTCGTGACAACCAGCGTGCTTGCAGACATTGCTGGGGAAGCTCCACATCAGCTCCCTTTTGAGAACCACTGGTTTATTCTTTGGTCCACTCATTTATTCATTAAGTCAGCAAAAA